GGAGTCACGACCCTACTATCGGGTGTCCCGATAGTGGGTTCGTATCGACGGCTCCGACGGGATACCGACAGGTATCACGGTCGATCCCGTGGCTGGCGGTGTTGACATTGAAAACAGTTTGGCGCATCGGGTTCTTTGCGACCGCACCTCCCAGTCTCCCCATGGACATCATCAGGACACTATTGAAACACCACCAGGACACCAACAGGACACCCATCGGGACACCATCGGAGCACCATTCCCACTATCGATCTCACAATCGGTATCACTACCGATCTCACCATCGATCTCACCAGGACACACCTCAGGATACCGACGGGACACCCGCGGGACACCGACGGGACACCACGGGACAACATCGGAACACCAATCGATTTCACGTTCAATCTCACTGTCGATCTCACAATCGATCCCTCCACGGGGCACAGACAGGACACCGACGGCACACCGACAGGACACCGACGGGACACCGGCGGGACACCGACGGGACACCCACGGAGCACCGACGGGACACCATGGGACGGACCCGACGGGACCCCGACGGGACACCAACGGATCACCGACGGGAAACCACGGCGGGACAACCCGGCCACCGCCCGCCCACCGCGGCGGGACACCGACGGGACAGTGACAGAACACCGGACACGGCGGGACTCCTGGGCCACCGCCAGACCACCGCAGGGCGGGGGAGGACGGGTCAACGGCTCTGACCCGCCCTAGCCACAGCGGGGTCAGTCCTGTCGCCCGCCCATGCAGCTTCGCATCGCCCGTGCGCGCAACACGAGTCCGAAACCGAAACCAATTTTCCCTGTGAGGGGCTGTCCGTTCCACTTCGATCTCACTCCCCCAACCTCCGAAGTAATTCCCAACCCTCCTTGGTTGGGTATTCGTTTTGAATAGAGGGGTGTGGTCGCGTCCTCCTCCCGCCCCCCCTGTGGTCGCCGTCCCAGGGGGGCCGCGGGGGCTGCGATCTGCGAAATTGTCGCCACTTTCGAGGGCTGCTGGTGGGTCCAGCGGAGTGAGGCACCGCGCGGATCTGAGCAAGACCTCGCCGTGCCTGGGGTGCTGCGATCTGCGAACGTGTCGCCACTTTCGAGGGCTGCTTGTGGGTCCAGCGGAGTGAGGCACCGCGCGGATGCGATCTGCGAAATTGTCGCCACTTTCGAGGGCTGCTGGTGGGTCCAGCGGAGTGAGGCACCGCGCGGATCTGAGCAAGACCTCGCCGTGCCTGGGGTGCTGCGATTTGCGAACGTGTCGCCACTTTCGAGGGCTGCTGGTGGGTCCAGCGGAGTGAGGCACCGCGTGGATCTGAGCAAAACCTCGCCGTGCCTGGGGGGCTGCGATCTGCGAAATTGTCGCCACTTTCGAGGGCTGCTGGTGGGCCCAGCGGAGTGAGGCACCGCGGGGATCTGAGCAAGACCTCGCCGTGCCTGGGGTGCTGCGATCTGCGAAACCGTCGCCACTTTCGAGGGCTGCTGGTGGGTCCAGCGGAGTGAGGCACCGAGCAGATCTGAGCAAGACCTCGCCGTGGTTGGGGGGCTGCGATCTGCGACATTGTCGCCACTTTCGAGGGCTGCTGGTGGGTCCAGCGGAGTGAGGCACCGCGCGGATCTGATCGGGGCCTCGCCGTGCCTGGGGGGCTGCGATCTGCGAAACTGTCGCCACTTTCGAGGGCTGCTGGTGGGTCCAGCGGAGTGAGGCACCGCGCGGATCTGAGCGGGGCCTCGCCGTGCCTGGGGGGCTGCGATTTGCGAACGTGTCGCCACTTTCGAGGGCTGCTGGTGGGTCCAGCGGAGTGAGGCACCGCGCCGATCTGAGCGGGGCCTCGCCGTGCCTGGGGGGCTGCGATCTGCGAACGTGTCGCCACTTTCGAGGGCTGCTGGTGGGTCCAGCGGAGTGAGGCACCGCGCCGATCTGAGCGGGGCCTCGCCGTGCTTGGGGGGCTGCGATCTGCGAAATTGTCGCCACTTTCGAGGGCTGCTGGTGGGCCCAGCGGAGTGAGGCACCGCGGGGATCTGAGCAAGACCTCGCCGTGTCTGGGGGGGCTGCGATCTGCGAAACTGTCGCCGCTTTCAAGGGCTGCAAAGGCACCGCGCGGATCTGAGCGGGGCCTCGCCGTGCCTGGGGAGCTGCGATCTGCGAAATTGTCGCCACTTTCGAGGGCTGCTGGCGGGTCCAGTGGAGTGAGGCACCGCGCAGATCTGAGCGGGGACTCGCCGTCCCTGGGGGGCTGCGATCTGCGAACGTGTCGCCACTTTCGAGGGCTGCTGGTGGGTCCAGCGGAGTGAGGCACCGCGCGGATCTGAGCGGGGCCTCGCCGTGCCTGGGGTGCTGCGATCTGCGAAACTGTCGCCACTTTCGAGGGCTGCTGGTGGGTCCTGCGGAGTGAGGCACCGCGCGGATCTGAGCGGGGCCTCGCCGTGCCTGGGGGGCTGCGATTTGCGAACGTGTCGCCACTTTCGAGGGCTGCTGGTGGGTCCAGCGGAGTGAGGCACCGCGGGGATCTGAGCGGGGCCTCGCCGTCCTTGGGGTGCTGCGATCTGCGAAATTGTCGCAACTATCGAAGGCTGGTGGCGGGTTCAGCGGAGCGAGGCACCAGGCAGATCTTAACGAGGCATCGCAATCCTTGGGGGGCTGCGAGCCTCACGAATGCCGCTCGCAGAAGTATATGCGCCCATGTCACGTCATCACCTCCGTATAACGTCTCCCAAGCTACTCATGCCCCGCATTGCGCAGGGTCTGGGTACGTCGCCAGGGTATTTTTGTTATGTATGTATTTACTGTAGTGGCCTCTGGCCAGTGTCGCCGATCCAGGGCGCTCCCGATGGTGCTCGGGTTCGCTTGGAGGTCTATGGGGCCGTTTTGGGGCCTTCTTGGGGCCGTCGTAGGAGGACGCCTCTTGAGGGTTTTTTTGTGCCTCTTTGGAGCTTCTTGGAAGCCTTTTTGGCTGTCTTCGGGCGTTCATGGCCCGTCGGAAGCTGTCTTGGGCACCTCGCTGTGCACCCTGGGGGCGCTTCAGGGCTGTCTTGGAGGCTATCTTGGCCGTCTTGGGGGCCTATGACGCCGTCTTGGGACCTTCTTGGGGCCGTCTTAGGAACCTCCGGGTCATCTTGGAAGCCTATGCTGCGATCTTAGGGGCCTCTGGCGCCGTCGGAGTGCTGAAACGAATGAAACGCCCAAATCCTTCAAAAGCATGTCGAAAGTCAATGATGTGAGCCTTTTCGGGCCTTCTTTGGAGGGCATCCTGGGCAACTTTGGGTGCATCTCGAGCCGTCTGGGGAATATCTGGCGACCATCTTGGGCTCTCTGGCCCCCCCGGGTGGGAATTTTGGAGTTTTACGTTTCCCAGCCCCGCCCAGAAAACGGAGCACAGGCCCCCCCCCCTTTTCCCTGGCAGAGCCGCCCCAGCCCCCCCCCCCCAGCAGAGATGAAGTTCAGGCTGTAGCTGTAGGCTGTATTGTTTCAAACTTACACGCCGCATCGCCAGATTCTGACGGGACGCCGACAGGACACCGACGGGACACCGACGGAACACCGACGGGACACCCACGGAGCACCGACGGAACGCCGACGGGACACCATGAGACACCGACGGCATACCAACGGAACACCGACGGGACACCACGGCGGGACGACCCAGCCACCGCCACGGGGCACCGACGGGAGAGCGACGGAACACTGGACACGGCGGGTCTCCCAGGTCACCGCCAGATCATCAGAGGGCGGGGGAGGACGGATCAACAGCTCTGACCCGCCCTGGCCACAGCGGGTTCCTTCCTTTCGCCCGCCCATCCAGCTTCGCATCGCCCGCACGCACGACACGAACCCGAAACCCAAACCGATTCCCCGTTGGGGGGCTCTCCGCCCCACTTCGATCTCACCCCCCCTTACTTCCGATGTGTATTTATTCTTTCCTGGGAATTGAATTTACGAGGCTTCCACACCAAACTGATGGATCCTGGCGACAGACAAGTTTGGTCCACGTGATTCTTGCACCCGCGGATTGGGATTCGATTGGACCCATGCTTTTCCCAGAATGAAGGACGTCACATTCGGCCTGTCTGTGTGTGTGTCTGTGTGTGTGTGGTGCAAGGAACGTGGTGTAACTTTAGTGGTGCGAACACACATTGCCTCGCCCTCACTCGCGACAGACTGCAAGCCTGCGTTGGCCAGAGGACCTGCGTTTGGAGCAACCTCTCCCGAGGCTGTCGGAGTGCTTTTCGGGGGGGGGGAAGCCGTATACTAGCATAGGAAACTATCACAATGCATGAGATTGTCAAACGTACTGCCCGAGCTTCAACCGTCGGTGTATGTGTGTATGTGAGAGAGATCGTTACTGGTACTGTCGACCTCTCGGCCGTACGGCTAGGCTTTTGTACCACATGCATTTGCTGCTCTGCTTGCGCGGCCTACGTCGCTTGCGCCTCGGCCATATTTTCCGCCCCTATTTCCCACTGTCCCTATGGTTTTCCGTCTTGTCTTGCAACGTCCAGTTGTCTGTCCTGTCCTGGTTTCGCCTTTGTGAGACTGCTGGGGTTTTCAGTCTGGGTGCGCGCTTCACAAGGAAGCGGATTATTGTTGCTGGCCACCCCATAGTTGATACCATTGGTTGGGCCTCACTAGCGCGCTGGAGGAAACCATTGTGTGATCGCGCTGTGTCATGGTCTAGCGTGCAGAAGTGCAAGCTCCGAAGTCGATTGACTCCAAATCTGGATGCCGGCAGAAATAAAAGACTTGCAACTACAGGGGGGCAAGTGCAGAAAGTGGTTCGATGATCACGTAATGCCGTGATGTCGGTGGTCCGTTTGATTTGCCACCGCTTACGATCTAGGGTTTCGTGTTTTTTGCACTTGTCGCTGTGTTTGTGTTAGGACGGGTCTTCCCCTCTGGCTGTCTGTAGCAGAGAACTCATGTCACGCCGTTCTATCTCATTCCCACCTCCCCTGCCACTCCCTCACACCCCCTTCCGCTTCCGTTCTGCCCACTTGCAGTCACCCGAGGCCTCACCCTCCCCTTCGTGGCCATTACGTTCCTGACCATGATGGCCACCCTCAACGCTCTGTGGTACTGGGCGCACTCCACCGCACCATCCAAGTTGTATATATTCCCTATGAGCGAGGGGAAGAGAGGAGGGGTACAGGAGAGAGATAGAGAGAGAGAGAGAAAGAGAGACTAACAAATTAAAGCAGGGAGGACCGACGAGTAAGAGAACACGATGTATGATAATAACGCGGGGAAAGGAGGGACAGAAGCGAAGTGGGAAGAACAATGAGAAACAAAGGGGGTCCTCCCTTGAGCCCGAGCTAGGGTAGGCAGGGAGGAGGAATGGTTGGTAGGCGCAGCAAGCGTCTCCCAGGTATGCACCTGTCGGTGACGAGATGGAGGACAGGAACGCCAAATTGCTGGAGACACTGTCACAGGCGACAGACAAGCTGACCAAGGTCTTTGGCAGGATTATCCAATTCCTGCTTATCCTCCTCCTTCTTTATATGTTCCTTCTCCGCCTCATCCCCACGGCTCGCCTTTGTTTGACCCTTCTTTCCCCAGGGAGGAGTATTGGGAAAAGGGCTGCGATGCGTGGGCGTGGCTGTTGGCCCTGCCCAAGGCAGACGCGATCCAGGTGGAGTACACCGAGAAGATCCGCGAGGCGCGCGAGAAGGCCTCGGCGGCGGTCTCGGACTACCGCAAAGAGATCGAGAAGGGCATCAAGGCGAAGCTCGCCGCCGCGACGTCCCAGAGGGCGGCCCAGGCCGCCGCGCTGCAGGCTAAACTGGAGGCCGAGGTGAAGGCGAAGATGGATGCCGCCGAGCCAGAGATCGAGAAGCGCAAGTCGACCTTCGTGAAGGAGACCCTGGCCTCTTGCTCGCTGGCGTGAGGTGGCTCGGCCACAGCGTATTTTGAGCAAGCTCCCCCGCCCCCCTTCTGCATCCCGGGCGCTGCGCGGTGGTGCCACAAGGATGTAGAAGGCGGCCGAGGAATAGAGGTTTCCTTACATCCGAGTGCCACATTGCCTCCTTGCTGACTTGGTCGCGTGGGCAGGCGCCACGTCACTGGCGCGCCCATCCTTTTACTCCTCCTGCAGCTCAGCCACCTCCACCTCCTCCACCTCATCCGTGTCCTCTACCTCCTTATCCCCCCTCTCCCGTCTCCCCTCTACCTCACTCCCTTCCTCTCTCCCTCCCTGCCTTCCTTCCGCCCCTCCCTTTCTGCGCCGCGGCCCTTCCGCGCGCACAGTGGATCGGGGTCTGCATGTCCCCTCGATCCTGTCAGTGGGGAGCTCCCGTTCCTCCTTCTCCCCTGTCATACCCCTTTCCCTCCCCTTTCTCAGCTGCAAGCCGCATGTCCGTCACTCTTGTCTCTGCCGTGCCATCGCAGGCCAGGGCTGAGCCGAGCGCAGACCCTCGTTTTCAGGGAAGGGAACATAGCGGGAGGTATACCCCCTCAGTATAACATGAAAGGAGGCCTGAGGAACGAAGAGGTGAAGCGGCCAGGTCGCTCGATTGCCGTCCGGCCAAATCCAACCTTGGGGACGACACCTTGCGGCTAGTGGACCTTGCATCCCACTTTTTTGGGCAACCTTGCGACACGTAGTCGCAGTGCGTATTGTAATCCACCGCATAGGCCGCCCCCATATGTGGCATTACACTCAAAAAGTGTACTGGTGGTATTGCACCAGTAGCTTTTGCTGGATAGCTTGCACACCATATGTGGTACACCAGAGCTTGCATCCCATGCGTTGGAGCGGGTACACTGCACCACGCGCAGTGCGCCACCTATTTTGCATCTCAGATTTTGCATTCATTGTAACTTCTCTATCGGAGGCTGGGGTGTAAGATCGCAGTGGAACGGTGAGATCCCCACCAGGAAATCGGTTTCGGTTTCGTGCTCGTGTCGTGCGTGCGGGCGCAGCGAAGCTGCGTTGGCGCGTGAGAGAAATGATCCCGCCGTGGCTAGGGCGATTCGGATGCAAACGTCCTGCTCTCTGGTGGGCGCGCGGTGCCTGGGAGAGTCCCGCCGTAGTGTCTCGCGGTGTCCCGATGGTGTTCCGCTGTGTCTCGCCGTGGGCGCGTGAGAGGAATGATCCCGCCGTGGCTGGGGCGATTCGGATGCAACAGTTCGGCCCTCAGTGAGCGCGCGGTGGCTGGGGGTGTTCTGCCGTGGTGTCTCGCGGTGTCCAGATTGTCCTGCGGTGTCTCGCCGTGAGCCCGCGAGAGGAATGATCCCGCCGTCGCTAGGGCGATTCCGGTGCAAAAGTCCGGCCCTTCGGTGGGTCCGCGGTGGCTGGGGGTGTCCCGCCGTGGTGTCTCGCGTTGTCCTGACGGTGTCCCGCGGTGTCCCGCCGTGGTGTCCCGATGGTGTCTCGTGGTGTCCCGTGATGTCCCGCGGTGTCCCAGTGGTGTCCCGCGGTGTCCCATGGTGTCCACGCGTGTCCCGCGGTGTCCCTTGGTGTCCCGCCGTGGTGTCCCGATCGATGGTGAAATCCATAACGACCGAGATGTGGTGAGATCTGTAGTGAGATCGACAGTTGGATCGATAGTGAGGTCGATAATGAGATCGGTAGTTGCATCGATCGTGCGAGCGGCAGTAAGATCGATAGTTCCATCGACAGTGAGGTCGCTAATGGAGTCGATCGCTAATGACATTGATCAGCCGCGAATGGGATCGATCGTTTGGAGATTGCTAATGGGATCGATCGAGTGAGATCGCTGATGGGATCGATCGCTGGACCCATCGATTCTAAGACTAGCCGTGAGGTCGATGTGAGATCGATCGAGTGAGATCGACAGCGGGGTCTATAGTGACATCACATCGCGGCGCAACATCGTCATCACGCGTCGTCGCCAACTCAAGGGCGCGTCACCAGCATCATCATCATCACACCCATCACATTTGCCAGCAGTTGTTTTTTTCCCTCTCCCCAACCTTCTTATCACCTGAAGTGTGGTCGTATAGGTATACATGTAGATGTGTTGGAGGTTCGGGTGTGATGCTGGAGTGAAGCGGAGACCCTTGCTGGGAAATCGGTAATGGCGGCGTCGTGTTCGTGTCGTGTTCGTGTCGGGCGCGCGGGCCAGGCAAAGTTGCATGCGCGGTCGAGAGGAGTGATCCGCAATTGCCAGGGCGTAGTCAGAGCAAAAGTAGATACAGCGTCTACTTACGGATGGGGCCCGCAGATGTCCCGCGATTGTCCCGTGGTTGTCCCGTGATTGTCCCGACGGTTGTCCCGATTGTTGTCTTTACGTTTTTGTTCTTGATGGTTATCCCGACGCTTGTCCCGATGGTTGCCCCGATGGTCGATTCATTGATCGTGAGGTCAACAGATGGCTTCTGAAGCGGCTTCTGTGGCCGATGGATAGATGGATCGACGAACATGTTGATAGCGAGATCGGTAGATGGACAGTGTAATCGATTGACCGATCGATAGTGAGATCGATAGACGTATCTCGATGAATTGATAGCGGTATGTGTGGCTTGCTGACGCCGCCATAGTTCGAGCCTTGGTTCTCTACCGGCAGAGATGTAGTGAGATCAACATATCGGTCTAGGGTGAGATCGGTAGATACAGACAGTGTGTCTAGGGAGACAATAGACAGCCTGTGGGGCCGATAAGCAGATAGACCGGAACAGGTTTTCTCGGTGCTTGTCGCGACGCTTACTCCAAAGTGTGTCCTGCTGGTTCTCCCGACGGTTTTCCCGATAGTTGTCCCGATGGTTGTCCCGATGGTTGGCCCGATGGTTGTCCCTATGTGTTTTCTGATGTATGTCCCGATGGTTGGTTGATCGATTGATAGATGGATCGGTAGATCGATGGCGAGATCCATGGACATATAGTGAGGAAGATACGATACATGTATACAGTCAGAGTGGGCGACATATATGAATATGTGGTCGCCCCCCCCCCCTGTGATCATACATCTCCGTCTTCCGTGTTCGCTCTCTCCCTCTCTCCTTCTCTCTCGCTCTATCTCTCTCTCTCGTTTTGTTGTTCTCTCTTTGCGTTTGTCTCTCGCGCTCTCTGTGATTGTCTGCTGCTGTCTTCGACTGTTTGTCTTTCACGCTCTCTGTGATTGTGTTTGAACTTTTCCAGCTTTTCCGAAAGATTACCCTGGTGAAAAACCTTGTGTTTTCCAGCTTTTCCAGCTTTTCCCAGAGACTACCCTGGTGAAAAACCTTGTGTTTTCCAGCTTTTCCAGCTTTTCCCAGAGACTACCCTTGTGAAAAACCTTGTGTTTTCCAGCTTTTCCAGCTTCAGCTTTTCCCACAGATTACCCTGATGAAAAACCTTGTGTTTTCCAGCTTTTCCAGCTTTTCCCAGAGACTACCCTGGTGAAAAACCTTGTGTTTTCCAGCTTTTCTAGCTTTTCCAGCTTTTCCCAGAGCCTACTGTACCCTGATGAAGGTTTTTCACCAGGGTAGTCTCTGGGAAAAGCTGGAAAAGCTGGAAAACACAAGGTTTTTCACCAGGGTAGTCTCTGGGAAAAGCTGGAAAAGCTGGAAAACACAATGGTTTTCACCAGTGTAGTCTCTGGGAAAAGCTGGAAAAGCTGGAAGAGCTGGAAAACAAAAGGTTTTTCACCAGGGTAGTCTCTGGGAAAAGCTGGAAAAGCTCGAAAACACAAGGTTTTTCATCAGGGTAATCTCAGGGAAAAGCTGGAAAAGCTTGAAAACACAAGGTTTTTCATCAGGGTAGTCTCTGGAAAAAGCTGAAAAAACGCTGGAAAAGCTGGAAAACACAAGGTTTTTCACCAGGGTAATCTCTGGGAAAAGCTGGAAAAGCTGGAAAACACAAGGTTTTTCATCAGGGTAGTCTCTGGGAAAAGCTGGAAAACACAAGGTTTTCGCTGAGGATACCTCTGGGGGTAGCTGGTGTTCGAGCACAGTGATGGGAACCCGTTTTTGGGGTTCCCTCCTGGGTCCGCGTCCGCCACGGAAGGGGCATCCGTTTTTTGGATGCCCCTCCAGAGTAGCGCCGTGGAAGCGCTTCGCAGTGTCGAAGTTTTGGTTTGTTGTGTGGTATCATCACTGATGCTGAGCCGTTGCTGGTGTCCTTGCGTAACAGGCGTCCGACCATGTGGCCTTGTGTTAGGGCACAGTGATGGTAACCCGTTTTTTTGGTTCCCTCCTGGGCCCGCGTCCGCCACAGAGGGGCATCCGTTTTTGGATGCCCCTCCAGAGTAGCGCCGTGGAAGCGCTTTGCAGTGGCGAAGACTTGGTTTGTGGTGTGGTGTCATCACTGATGCTGAGGCGTTGCTGGTGTCGTTGCGTGACAAGCGTGCGGCCATGTGGCCTTGTGTTCGAGCACAGTGATGGGAACCCGTTTTTTGGGTTTCCTCCTGGGTCCGCGTCCGCCACGGAAGGGGCATCCGTTTTTTGGATGCCCCTCCAGAGTAGCGCCGTGGAAGCGTTTCGCAGTGTCGAAGTTTTGGTTTGTTGTGTGGTATCATCACTGATGCTGAGCCGTTGCTGGTGTCCTTGCGTAACAGGCGTCCGACCATGTGGCCTTGTGTTCGGGCACAGTGATGGTAACCCGTTTTTTGGGTTCCCTCCTGGGCCCGCGTCCGCCACAGAGGGGCATCCGTTTTTGGATGCCCTTCCAGAGTAGCGCCGTGGAAGTGCTTTGCAGTGTCGAAGACTTGGTTTGTGTATGAACATGTGGGGAGGAGACAGGTTGAAAGGAGAGGGTGGGGAGGGAGAGGGGGAGGATGAGGAGGAGGAGGAGGAGGAGGATGATGATGATGACGAGGAGGAGGAAGAGGAGGAGGAGGAGGAGGAGGAGGAGTGGAGGAAAAGGGGGAGGATGAGGAGGAGGAGGAGGAGGAGGACGACGACGACGACGACGATGAGGATGATGATGAGGAGGAGGACGACGACGAGGAGGATGAGAAAGAAGGCGAAATGTATGATCACAGGGGGGGGCGAGCAAATATCTATATACATACACGCATATATGTATTCGTATACATATACATACACCACTGGGGTATGTTCTGAAAAAATGAAAAGGTCGTTAGACAGATAGGCAGGTAGAAGTTGTCCCGATGGTTGTCCCGATGGGTGTCCTGATCTTTGTCCCGATCTTTGTCCCGATGGTTGACGGATTGATTGGTCATGAAACCATTTGATAAATCGCGAGGCCGGTGGATAGACAGATAGTGAGATCGATCGACGGATTTTGAGATTGCTAGGTCGGTGTGTAGTGGTAGGTCGGAGGTGAGGGGGTGAGATCGAAGTGGAACGGAGAGCCCCCCCTACCGGGAAGTCGGTTTCGGTTTCGTGTTCGTGCGTGCCGTGCGTGCGGGCGAGGCGAAGCTGCGTGGGCGGGCGAGAAGAAAGTCTCCTCCGGCTGAGGCGCGGCGGGACCAACTGATTCCTTTCCGGGCTCCGGTGGCCCGCGGTGTCCAGCCGGTGTCCCGCCTCCGGCTGAGGCGCGGCCGGACCAAATGATTCCTTTCCGGAGCCAGTGGCCCGCAGTGTCCCGCCGGTGTCCCGCCGGTGTCCCGCCGGTGTCCCGCCGGTGTCCCGTCGGTGTCCCGATGATGATGATGAAGATGATTTTGATGATGATGATGATGTCGATAATGTTGATGATGATGGTGATGGTGGTGATGAGGATGGTGTCCCGATGATGTTGATGATGATGATGTTGATGTTGACGATGTTGATGATGATGGTGAGGATGGTGGCCATGGTGGTGATGATGGTGTCCCGATGATGATGATGATGATGATGATGATGATGCTGGTGATGTTGATGATGTTGATGGTGTCCCGATGGTGATGATGATGATGATGGTGATGATGATGGTGTTGGTGATCATGATGATGTTGATGATGATGAGTTGGTGATGAAATGATGATGATGATGAGAATGATGATGGTGTCCTGGTGATGATGATGATGATGATGATGATGATGGTGAGGTTGATGAGGTTGATGATGATGCTGCTAATGATGATGGTGATGATGATGGTGCCCCGATGATGATGATGTTGTTGATGATGATGGTGTCCTGGTGATGCTGATGATGATGATGGTGTTGATGATGCGGATGATGATGAGGTGATAATGATGATTGTGCTGAGGGTGGCCCGATGCTGGTGATGATGATGCTGATGTTGATGATGATGGTGTTCCGATGATGATGATGGTGACGATGATGATGCTGTTGATGATGATGTTGCTGATGATGATGATGGTGTCCCGATGCTGATGATGTTGATGATGTTTTTTATGATGATGACGAGATGCTGATGGTGATGGTGTTGATTTCCGATTATGATGATGATGGTGTCTCGATGATGATGATGATGATGATGATGATGTTGATGATGATGATGGTGACGACGTTGGTGTCCCGATGGTGATGATGTTGATGATGATGATTGACGATGATGGTGGTGAGGTGATGATGATGATGGTGTCCCGATGATGATGATGATGATGATGATGACGATGTTGATGACGTTGGTGACGATGATATTGATGATGAAGTTGATTGTGGGATCGATTGTGATATCAATAGTGGGATCGGTAGTGAGACCGAATGTGAGATCGATTGTGAGATCGATCGTGAGATCGATAGTGAGATCGATGGTGAGATCGATAGTCAGATCGGTTGTGAGATCGATCGAATGAAACAGATCGAGTGAGATCGATTGTGAGATCGAACGAGTGAGATCGATCGAGCGAGACCGATAGTGAGATCGACAGTGAGATCGATGGCGAGACCGACCGAGTGATACGTTGGTTCCTCCCCCCCCGAACCTCCTTATCACCTGAGGGGCTGTCGTGTAGGAATCAATTGGTAGATGGATCGTGGGATGGTTAGATAGGTGGGCAGGTCTACAGATCGGAGGTTGGGGGTTGAGATTTAAGTGAAATGGAGAGCCCCTCCAGGAAATCGGTTTCGAATTCGTGTTCGTGTCGTGCGTGCGGGCGAGGCGAAGCTTCGTGGGCGCGCGAGTGGAATGACCCCGCCGTCGCTAGGGCGATTCGGATGCAGTGGACCGCCCTTCCGCCCCCGGTGGGAGCGCGGTGGCCCGGGGTGTCCCGCCGTGGTGGTCTGTGGTGCCCCGTTGGTGTCCCGTCGGTGTTCCGTCGGCGGTGGAGGGGCGGTGGCTGGGGGTGTCCTGCCTTGGCATCGATAGTGAAGTCGATAGTGAGATCGATAGTGAGTTCGCTAGACTGGGACGGATCATGAGATCAAAATTGAGATCGACAGCGAGGTTGATTGTGACATTGGTTGTGAGATAGAACGCGCGGACGATGGTGACGTTACATCGCTGCGCAGCATCGTCATCACGCGTCGTCGCTATCTCGAGGGCGCGTCACCAGCATCGTCATCATCACACCCATCGCATTTGCTAGCAGTTGGTTCTTTCCCCCCCAACTTCCTTATCACCCGAAGGGTTGTCGCATAGGTAGATAGTGAGATCGGTCGACAGACAGACCGATCGAAGTGGTTTTATGTATGGAGACGTCTGTCCCGGCGGTTGTACCGTCGTTCGCTCCTGCCTCCCACTTTCCTTGCTGGCCCGTGGCCGATCTCATAGGCATGAGCATACACATCGATGTGCTTCTACAGATGGGTGCCATATGTACATATGTCGCAACACCTGCATTGCATCACGCACCGATTGTACCACAGAGCCCACGCCGATAATGCAATAACCCACTGCTTGGAGCACCCGCTGGCAAGAATTGCGGCTTTCTTGTCCGCAGTATTGCTCTATTCCGCCAGTGGTGGACTTCGTTGGAGCCACACACGGCGCTGCGGAGGGATCAGGTCCATTCTATTTGCGGCCAGTGGCCAAATCAGAGTTATCGTTCCTCTCTCTGGCGCGCGCGGGGGGTCGCCGCTGTTGCTGTTCGAATCAAGCTGAGGGCGTAGGCGAAACACGCCAGCCAGCCCCACCGCCGCCCATCGCTGCTTCCAGCGCCGAGAGATTTGCGTAGTGCTGTGCTTCTCCAACTTCCCCCTGCCCCCCCCTCCCCTTCCATCCCCCCCCTTCCCTCCTCCCTCTACCCCTGGTCCGTGCCTCATCAATTTTCCCCGCTCCCTCTCGCTTCTCACTCTCTCCCTCCTCTCTTCTTGCTGCTCTGCCGCCTCGTGCGTCTTCTCCCTGCTCACCCATTCGCGCACTCCCCGTTGCCCTCCCGAGAGGAATGGCGACGGGGAGGAAGTGAAGAAGGAGAAGGAACAGGAGGGAGGGTGGTGGTGTTCGCAAATTTTGCTGGTCCCCAGGTATTCCTCGAAGCTGCTGGAGTCGGAGGCCCCCGGAGGTCCAGGAAGAATCTGAAATGCCCGAAAACGCTCGACCTTACGAAACCATCCTTCGTCGATCCTCGCAAGGGTAAAGGACGAACCTTTGCAGATGGAGGGTGGTCATGCATGTGGGCTGCAGGAGCCCTGGCGGGAGCGGCACTCCCAGAGATCCAATGTCGTGACTTGTTTCGGCGCGAGGTCCCCCAATATCTCGAAGCCTTCCCCGTGGGGCTGTTTTTTTTATCCCGGATCGTTCTTTGACAGAAACGGAGCCTGAGAACGGCCCACAGAGGCCGAAAGCAGCGAAAATCATCCGTATTCGCTTTTTGTTCAAAACGTTGGAGGTCTAGGCTTACGCCGAGAAGAACGAGAAGGAAGGATGGGTGTGTGTGTGTGTCTGTCTGTCTGTCTGTCTGTCTGTCTGTCTGTCTGTCTGTCTGTCTGTCTGTCTGTCTGTCTGTCTGTCTGTCTGTCTGTCTGTCTGTGTGTGCGACGAGGGGCATGGCATTCTGCGTGCTCCTTCCAGTTAGCTGGGCCAGGCGGGTGGCGCACAGGACCTCACGAGGATCCACCACTTCAGCCACCGCCTAGCCTAGACTCCTGAACCTAAACAAGTCGAGGTCCCTCTCCCTGGCGGGGGCCTCCTCGAGAATGGCGAACTTCAGCCACCCACCTGCGGCCCAGGGCGCACGGACGGCATGCTCCTGGCGCCTGCGGCGCTCTCGTCTGGAGCGTGCCTCAAGCCTGCTGGCTTCTATCCGAGCGAGTTGCGCTTCGGATAGAGACGGGGGAAGCGGAGGCGTGGGGACGGAGGAGGCAGGAGGCAGGAGGGAGGTAGTCCCTAGCGAAACGCCCGGCCCGCCCTTACAACGCGCCTGGTGGTGCATCAAGGAGGAGGAGGAGGAGGAGGAGGAGGAGGAGGAGGAGGAGGAGGAGGAGGCATGCATATGAAACAAGGAGGGGGGGGACGGAGGAGGAGGGAAGGTGGCGCCGGGGAGCCGAGAAGGAGGATGCAGGAGGAGGGATGAGGGCGGCTGCGCCGCGTGAAGACCTCGGCGCCCGCCTCGCCGAGAAGATGGCCGCCCGCACGCGCTCCACTGCGCTCCGCACGGCGGCGGCCGCCGCCCTGGCGCTCGCGCTCCTCGGCTGCAGCTCGGGCTTCGCGGCGCCCTCGGACGCCCGGGGCGCGGCTGCCTTCCCTCCCCTCCCTCTCCCACACCCTGCCTGCTCGTGCGTGCGTGCGTGTACCGGTGTGCATGAAGACGCATACATGTACCGTGTGACTCATCCTTGTCGCACCGCCAGGCGTGTCGTTAGGGCGAGTCCGGCGTTTCGCCTGAGATGTGTTTCATGTTTCACCGTCTACGGCCTTGAAGCTGGGAGTTTCCAACACTTACACGGACACGGAGGGAGGGAGGGTGGTTTTCGAAGTCGGGTTCTTTCTCTCTCTCTCTCTTTCTCTCTCTCTCGCCTCGCACAATCGCCTTGAGCACATCGAGCACTTCCTTCGATGTAGGGCGACTATTTTTCAACACGGGGCTCTCGCCCTGGCGCGGCGCACACTCGTCCAACACATGTTCCACAGGGGCACTGATGGAGGGAGGGCGGTTCGCTTTCATGAGCCTGGCGCGACCCCAATGTGGGGAAACCCTAGTGCGCGGGCGCATCGCTGGGCGCATCGCTGGGCATTGCTTGGCCTTGCCTCGCATTGCGTGGCATTGCACGGCATTGCACAGCATTGCTTCGCGTTGCTTCGCATTGTTTCGCATTGCTTGGCTTTACATGGATTGGCAATGATTGGCATGGGTTGGCAGGATTTTTGGCATTGCTTGGCATTGCTTGGCATTGCTTCGCATTGCCTCGCATTGCCTCGCGTTGCTTTGCGTGGGCTGGTATTGCTTGGCATTGCTTGGGACAATCAGGGGCGGTGAACCCGAGGAACTCTGGGAACCCGAGGAATGTGGGGAACCCGAGGAACCTCCGAGGAACGGGCAACGTAACAAGAGGAGGCACCAAGGGCGGGGAACTCGAGGAACCCGAGGAACCTCCGAGCAACAGGCAAAGCAGCAGCAGGAGGCACCATTAACCGAGTGAGAACCCCTTGGGCAAGCCCACCTGGGGGTTAAGAAATGAACCTGGCGCGACCCCAATTAGGGGACAGTTTCCTATTGTAGGTGCGCAGTGCTCGGCATTGCTTGAGGAATCCGGGGAACCCGAGGAACCTCCGAGGAACGGTCAACGTAACATTAGGAGGCACCGGGGGCGATGAACCCGAGGAACCCGAGGAACCTCCGGGAAACGGGCAACGCAACAATATGAGGCACCGGGGGCGAGGAACCCGAGGAACCCGAGGAATCTTCGAGGAACGGGCAACGTAACATTCCGAGGCGCCGACCTCTAAACCAAATAAGACCCCCTTAGGTAAACCTAATTGGGGAAAAGTAGCGTTCTCCCCTGAGACATGCATACACATTCTACCGGAAGGTGAAAGCTGACGACAGCTAGACGGACGGAGGGACAATCGTTTTCAAAGCGAGGTTCTCATTTGTGGCATTGTTGAATTCTGCAGCCTTGGAGCCTTGTATCAGTGTTGAATTGGTCGACGGCCACGCAAATGTCTGGCGGTTCCTTTTCAAAGCGTGGTTGTCGTCGGGCACGACTCTACTTTGCCACACTCATCATGGCTCGAAGGGGGGCAGCGCCTTTTCAAAACGAAGCTCCCGTCTGAATTGCGAGCGCATTGGGCGCTTATCGTTCAAGGGGGCGCCGCGAACGTGAAAACAATGCTTATAGTGATTTATGAGGAGGAGACTCTGGTAGGGATGGTGTCTTGGAACATCGTTGGTACATCCCGGGCTTGCACTGTTTCTCCTCCTTCTCCTGCCCCTCCTCTCCCCCCTCTCCCCCCTCTCCCGCGCCACTCCTCTCCTCCTGCTCACGCTGCAACGCTGGCCTCATTTCCGCGCTTCCGCTCGTTCCGAATCGTGCTCCCGCTGCCCACCCCACCTTGCGGCGTCGCCACGCCATGCTATATCATGCTACGCGTTGATCTTCGACACCATGCTATGCCATGTAATGCTACGCCATGCTGCGACATCCGATTGTGCGAATAGAGAGGATCTCTACGCCATGGTCAGGGATGGGAGGGAGGGGTAGGACGTCAGATATGACGCGAGCACACCTAGCTTGTCTCCCCCCCCTCTTCCGCGCCACTCCTCTCCTCCTGCTCCTTCCCCTCCCCCTGCTCCTCCTTCCCCTCCCCCTGCTCCTCTTCCTCCTCCTGGCTTCGTGGCGGCCTCCGTCCGCAGCAGGCTCCTCGCGGCGCCCTCGGGTGCACCCCCCCCCCCCCGGTGGTCTGCCGCCTGCAGAGGGCACCTGCACCCAGTCTTTCCACTGTTTGGGACATCAGCGCGGGCAGCTGTTCCTTGTTTTCGGTGTCTGGAGGCCGTTCGTGGGCCCGGGGGCCGTCGGAAGAAAATGAAACCAGGGAGGAACACGTTGTCCTCCAGAATTCTGGTCGAGAGGTCCGGGGGACACGCATCCGTCATGTGTCTTGCTCAAGACGTGCACGGCTCGGGCTTCCACCAGTTCCCATTCAATGCCGATCCGTGCGTGTTCGCGGTGGCCGTGGGGGCGGGCGCTAAGGTGGCGGCGCCCCCACAGCGTGCCCCCCAGGCCGGGGTGGGGGGGGGGGCTCCCGCACCTCGGCTCGGTCGCGAGGGGAATGAGGAGCGAGAGGCGGAGCACTGAGGACCGCGACCAAATCACGACGGAAGGTCTGGGTACTTTTCCTGCCTCCGGGGGCCCTGGCAGGGCCCCGGGACAATTTAGGATCAATTCTGGGTGGGAAGCCAGTTTTTGGGGTCCAGGCTTCTGGAGGTCCACGCTGCAAACACACAACACCACGTCGGGGTCCTGGGGACTGACAAGGGAGGGAGAGGGAGAGGAGGAGGGGGACTTGTCAAAACCCCAGGTGCATCAGCGATGCTGCAATGCACCTTCCGTCTGAAGCCGCCTTCTCCATGCATCATTAGAAGACCTCGCGTTCACTGCGCGAAGCGCCCCCCTCGAAAGACGAGCGCCCCCCCATGGGCCCACAAGTCAGGCGGGAGCTCCGTTTTGGAAAACGCCACCTTCCAAATTTCCAAACCTTTCAGATTTAAGGAATGCGACCCAGCGAAGGAAGTGTCAAGCGACTGCCGCGCTTTGAAAAGGGGCCGCTCTCCATGCGTGAAGCTTTCGCGCACTTGCCAATTATGTGGTAGCAGAATCTGGCAGTTTCCAGGCCAGATCCCAGCACGTTTTGTCACAGCAGCCGCTCTGCATCCGTGGCCACGCGGCAGGAGTTCACAAAAGTGGCAGCCCTTTTTTTGTTAAACAGACACTTCGGGCGAAAATCCCACCCTGAAAACGTACACGGGCCTCCGTCCGTGTCACAGGGCTTGACTCCGAATGCGCGCGGCGCAGAGCCGCATTTTGAAACTGGCCAGGCTCCATGCGTGAAAATGTTGGAGTTCTTGTATCTTCGGTGTCGTATATGGTGAGGAAGTGTCCAGCGAAGCGCCCGGCCCAGCCTACGGACAAGCTCGGTGGTGCGACCGGGGAGAGTTGTGCAGAAGGGGGAAAAATGGCGAAGGAGGAGAAGGATAAGAGGAGGATCGGAGGAGGAGGACGAGGCATGGGCGGAGGAGGGCAGGAGTCGCGCCAGTTTCTCGAGTGGACTGCTACGGTTCCCGCTTTCTCCGGGGAGATGGGGCGTTCGAGTTCGCTCTCAGGCGAGCGTCTGCCTTCGAGTGGGCTCGGCTCGGCTGTGCGTTCGATCTTGTGCGGCTGCCAGTGTGGAAGAAGGGAACGGAACTGATCAGTGCGACCGAGCTGCCGCCTCCACATGCCAGAGCTGAGCCAAGATCTTTGTGGAGATCGGCATCAGCTCCCGGCCAGGCCAGGGGGCCACATCCACCAAGACCTGGCCCCAAACGGGCGGTGCGGAGGCTTGCAGCATCATGCCTCTGCTCTCCACCTTCTCCTTCGGAGGAGAGGCGATGCCACCACCACCATTACCACCACCACCACCACCACCACCACCACCACCACCACCACCACCACCACCACCACCACCACCACCAGCGAGGGGGAACCACGATGCCTCCCCGAGAGGGGGGATGCTTCGAGCGAGGGACGTGCACCACACCACCAGGAAGACCCTGCCTGGCGCCTCGCGCTGGTGGTGGTGTCGCCTTTCCTTGTGCCCCCTGCTCCTCCTTCTGATCCTCCTCACTCGTCTTCATGCTCCTCCTGCGCCCCCCTCCGTCCGTCCTCCCGCCTTCCTCTTCCGACTCTTCCGAGATCCCAGACTTCCAACGGCTCGATGTGTGTCGAGCCCACTTCTCCGAGCCTTCTTCATCCCAGATCTTTCTGTGACGAGTCCGGCGCGGGCCGGAAACGGCTCCAGGCGCCGAACATTGCGAAACAAATCTGGCGCGATCTGTGCGAGCCGCCCGAGGTCTGGGGTCCTCCCGTCTTCCTCCCCCGACGGTCTCTGGAGGATTCTGGAAGTCCCCTCCTGCCTCTGCAGGTGCCCTGATGCCTCCGCAGGCTCAACAATAGAGCAGCTAGTGCACGGAAACAGCCGCTGGAGGCCGAACACAGCGACGCATCTTGGCCTGGCCATTTCGAAGACGTGGGATGTCTGGGTCCTCCCGTCCCCGCTCCCTCGAAGGCTCCTCGTTCGTTTTCCCAGAAGGCCGGGCAGCCCCCGGCGGTGGCCGTCGGCGCGGCGCTGCTCGCCGCCGCGCCCATGCCGGCCTACGCCGGCGGCATGTTCGACTTCGGCCCCGCGGCTTCCCAAAAGTCGGAGGGCGACGCCGCCCACCCTCGTCAAGCAGGGAAGGGGCCCCGAGGGAGACGGGTCCTGAGGCTTTTCGCCGTTTGTCGCTTCCCGGGGCCCTCCCCGGTCCAAGCCACTCGGCATGGAGAGTTGGTGGTCCTGGAGGGGGAAGCCTCGGGATCCAAGGCCCGGTTCCCTCAGGACCCTTCTAGTTCATGCCGCCCCCCTGTCACACACACACACACACCTACCTCCGCGATCCCGCGAGGAGGAGAAGGAGGAGGAGGAGGAGGAGGAGGAGGAGGAGGGTATGCGGCTTTGAGTCCCCCTCGGCTTGCCCCCCAGAAGCATCCAGTGTGGTTGGGTCCATGCGTTCTGCCCGCAGCACCTCGCCCCTCCGTCCGCCTCACTTCCTCCCCCATCACTTTGCTCCTCCCCGCCGCTGCTTCTGCGCTTCCCTCTGCTGCTGTGCCGTTGTTGCCGCTGCTCCGCTCCCTGCGCTGTCCGCGTGTCTGCTTCGGCGCACCCACACACACACATACACCTCACGCGGATCGTTCCCCGCAGGGAGCTCCGCGTATGGCACTGGTGCCCGCCGCAAGTCTTCATGCCACTTAGGGCACTGGTGCCCCAGTACCCCTGCGGGCCCGCGCCCGATTCGGCACCCTGATGCGCATCGTGCCCCGCAGGGAGTTCTCTCTCTCTCTCACTCTCTCTCTCCCTCTCTTCGGCCCCAGTGCCCAAGTCCGCATGCGGGGGTCGCACTCGATTCGGGGCACCCCTCGCACGGATCGGGCCACATAGGAAGCCTCGCCCCACTGGCCGAGTCTGCGTGCGGGCCCGCGCCCACGGTACCCCCGTTGGGACTTCCGCCTGCGGCCCCGGCGCCCAAGTTTGCATCCAGGCCCGCGCCCATCTCGACTCACGCCAGTCGTGCCCAGGCAGGGAGCTCTATCTGCGGCTCCAGTGATGGGCGTGTCCGCACGCGGATCTGTTTCACGTGGTCGCGTCGCACCCCCCCTTCGCGCGAATCGTGTCTCCATTTTGTCAGCACTACTCTGGACTACACACATCCCCCCTGCGGCGCGCACTACATAGGAGAGGGCCGGGCTCTATTCCATTCGCAGCTGCGTGATTGAGTTTAGGCACATCGCTGCGTTGATTTGGGGGATTTCGTAGTCACAGATGGAGTGATATTGAGCTCGCAGAGCGGAAACCACGGCGTGTCCCCTTTCGGGAAACTCGCTCGCCCATGTGTTAATCGTGGGGTCCAGGGGGGCATGATGATAATGGTGATGATGATGCTGATGATGATGGTGATGATGGTGATGATGATGCTGCTGCTGATGATGATAAAGTTGGTGCTGATGCTAATGCTGATGTTGGTGTTGATGTTGCTGCTGATGATGATGTTGCTGATGCTGATGCTGATGCTGATGCTGCAGATGATGACGATGATGGTGGTGATGATGATGAGGAAGAGGTGATGAAGATGAGGAGGATTATCAGGAGGAATATGACGACGGTGTTCATCAGAAGGAGGATCAGGATGATGATGAGGATGATAATGATGCTGCTGATGATGATTATGCTGATGCTAATGCTGCTGATGATGATGCTGACGATGCTGAGAATGATGATGATGATGCTGATGATCATGCTGATTATGATGACGGTGATGATGATAATGATGATACTGATGATGATGATGATGATGATGATGATGATGATGATGATGATGCTGGTGCTGATGTTGATAATGTTGACGACGCCGCCGACGACGACGATGATGATGATGATATTGATGATCTTGATGTTTTCGATGATGGTGATGATGGTGGTGGTGGTTCTGATGATGTTGCTGCCGATGATGATGATGATGCTGCTGATGAGGATGATGATGAAGAAGAAGAGGATGATGATGAGGATGAGGATGATGACGATGACGATGATGAATATGATTATGATGATGATGATGTTGATGATGACAATGCTGATGATGACAATGCTGATGATGCTGATGGTGGTGATGATGATGATAGGAGCTGCTGCGCCTCGAGCGATTGCGGGCTCCTACAGCGATCCTCACGCACACAACATCATGTGCACGAGACGCCCGCGATCGGGTGTCCAGTGACAAGGGCCAGCTCGCGCTTCGTAGGTGGCGTCTGCGTTCGGTTGCTCATGGTGCTGCGCGTGATTGCACACAACGTGGGTCATGCAGACCATGCGGGATTGGAGGAGATAGGCGCAGCAGTGAAGACGACGGATGTGTTGCTTCTCTCCGGGACGGGCCGCCACGACGACACCGATTTCGACAGCTCTCAGCATCGCTTGCCGCATCACCTATGCATGTTATTTGGGTGGAGGAAGTCGAAGTGGGCCAATAAGTCGCGCGGGGGTGCCATTCTGCTCGGGGGTCGGGTCGACAGGTCCATCCAGCAGGTTGCAGCTCATTCAAGAGCCACAGGAATCCAAGGACGAGTAGGGAAAATGTTCCTTCGAGCCCATGCCGTGTCCGTCTGCTGCTTCACCGTCTACCTCCCCCCTCGAGGAACACAGCCCGCAGTCATGGCAACATGTGAGGGCGGGAGATGCGTGAAAACGCGAGGGTTCCTAACGCCCCAGGGCGGGGCCAGCCTGGAAACACATGGGCCCCCTAGCACGTCACGTGGCGCGTCCATTGGCACGTTCCGTAGCACGTCCCCTTGGCGCGTCCCGCGATGCGCCCCCGTGGCGCGTCCCCTTGCACGTCGCCTGGCGTTCCTCGGGGCGTTCCGCGGCGCGCCCTCCTGGCGGCTCTCGGGCAGAAACGATGTGCTGAGGCAGCTCGAGCGTAGGGTCCAGATCAGTTCGGTCAGGACTCGGATGCAAAGGAGGAGTCGACCCACAACGCTATAGAGCACAACCGCGGCAAGGCCCCTCGCAATCCAGCGCGGCGCAGCGAAGCGCAGCCCTCGGCACGGCACATCAATATCGACGCACTCAGCATTGCAACCTGGCACGTTCCGCGGCGCGCCCCGCGGCGAGCCCCCTAGGCACGTCGCGCGGCGCGCCCCGTGGCACGCCCCGTGGCACGTCCATTGGCACGTTCCGTAGCGCGTCCCCTTGGCGCGTCCCGCCATGCGCCCCCGCGGCGCGCCCCCCGGCACGTCGCCCGGCGCGTCCCTTGGGACGTTCCGCGGCGCGTCCCCCTGGCATGTCCCCCTGTCAATTTGCTCTGGGGCAGTTATTATGTGCTCAGGCCGCTCGAGCACAAGATCCAGATCGGTTCGGTCAGGACTCGGATGCGAAGGAGGACTCGATCCACAACGCTATAGAGCACAACAGCTGCACGGCACATCGCGGCGCAGCACAGCACGGCTTCCGGCGCGGTAGTTACATCAATACCGATACACTCAGCATTGCATCCTGGCGCGTTCCATGGCGCGCCCCGCGGCGAGTCCCCTTGGCACGTCGCGCGGCGAGTCCCATGGCACGTCCCGTGGCACATCCATCGGCACTTTCCGTAGCGCGCCCCCATGGCACGTCCCGCGGTGCGCCCCTATGGCACGTCCCCATGGCGCGTCCCTTGGGACGTTCCGCGGCGCGTGACCAGCGTTCGGCTCGAATGGGTAACCATTGGAATTCCTAAACAACGTTTCTAATAACAAAGAAAAAGATTCCTGTCCGCTTGATCGCTTTCGGGCAGACGCGAACTCAACGGTGCTTCTCGGGCAGGGCGCTGCGACCGCAGTATGATTGCGGCAACATGAGACATCCACAGCGCCTTCTGCGAGGACTACACACTGCTTCCTTGGTGCTATCCCCGTACATTGGGTAACGTCCGCCGACGAATTCCAGCACGACGAGTTGCAGCGCGATGAATTCCATGCCCACTGGCGAATCTGCCGCAACCGACGGCGATGCCTACGCCAGCGCCGTTACTATACGCCTGCGCCATCGCCAGCGCCCACGTCAACGCCGGCGTCGGCGCCAGTGCCAGCAACAACCGTGACGCCTTCTCCGGCACCGACGCCAGCGCCCTATTCAGATGTTTGCGTCGCTCTGGTCTGACCCGTTCCACGGCCGTTCTTGCTCCGCAGAATTTCAAGCACAAATTGATCAGGCGGCCGCTTCATGCCGTGGGCGGGGTTTGCCACCGCTGCCGCGCGCCTCGGCCAGTGGGTCAGAGCGACGCTTGAGGGGGCGCTCGGCAACGCAACGGGGTGCGCCGCGGCGCTGGAATTGTTGTGCTCTCTGCGGTGGGGTGCCGCCATCCTCGCGCTGAGCAGCGCGGTGCTCGGCCCCCCCATCGGCAGATGTACCTTTCCGCGCTCGAGCGGGCCAGCGCTTCGAGATCCAGTGGCGCGTCTGCTGGCGCGGATTGCGCTGATGCCCTGCGCGCCCGAGCAGCATGCGGAGGTGGCTGGTCAGGATCCGAGCGAGAAGGCCGACGAGGATGTCGCCTGTGGTACTTCGTGACGCCCGACGGCGGCGTACACCCTCGCGAGTTTTGACGGGCACGCCGCTGCGCATCGCGGTTCCGTTCGACATGACCGATCGGCGGCAGTTGCCGGACTGGGAGGGCGCCGACCCAGCAGGGCTCGCGGTGCGCAGCCGAGACTGGGACATGAGCCCCGCGGACTTCCGCCTCCAGATGCGCTGCGCTATGGGGCGCTCGCTCGACGAGGCGCCGTCGCTCGGCCTGTCGAGCAGCCCGCCAGCGGAGGGGCCCGAGGAGGAAGCCGCAGCCCTGGCGCCTCCTCCTTCGCGGATCGGCTCGGGCTCGGACTTGATGAAGATTCCGAGTGAGTGGGCGGTTGGGCGAGGGCGGCTTCCAGACGCTACTCCGCCCGAGTGGCGCTGTCTGGCCTCGAGCGACGGCGACGGCAAGGGGTCCATCGGCGACTTGGAGTTCGAAACCTTCGCGATCGCCGCGGGGTTCGGCATCGGGGAGGCTGGGGGGCGGAGCCTGCTGCTGCGCGCCTTGCCGCGCGATGGGGGAGACGAGCTCGACGCCCGCGCGCCGGCGCCGCGGTGCTCGCCCCGCCCGCGCTGCTTGGGAATGCGCGAGGCCGTCGCCGAGCCCACCGAGAGCCACTGGGACTTCTTCCCCGTGAGCGGCCCTCGGACCGTGAAGTGGGTCTGCGAGTTCGCGAGGGGGAACGACGCGACCTTCCTGCCGCGGCGCGCGAAGTTCAAGGCGGAGACGGGGCTCTCCAGCAGCGACCAGGACGTCTCCGCGCATGAGCTGTGCTGCCGCATCATGCATCTCCTTTTCACCTTCGACCAGCTCAACGCCGGCGAGCTAGCACGCGCGGAGCTGGTGCGCCGTCGTATTCAGATGGCGGAACATCGGCACCGCGATAGGATACTGTCGACATCGCGAGGCGACGAGCTGCTGGAGGACTCGCACTTGCACCTGGGCACGGGGGAGACGCGCGGCTTGGCGCGCATCGCGCCGTCGCCCCTCACGTTCGTGACGGATGAACTTCTCATCGGGGAGCTTGGTGCTGAAGGAGCGGCGCAAGCTCGAGGGGGGGCGCCTCGCCTCTCGGGGCGACCCGAGTGCGGGCGGCAGCAGCGACCACCAGACTCGCTTCGCATGCGTGCAGATCGCGGTGGACAGGCAGAAGGCGGATATTGACCGGCTGAAGGAGCAGCTGGCGGGCGCCCCGAAGGCCGACGCGAAGGGTCGCGGTCGTGGAGGCGCAGCCGGCTGCGAGTGGGGCTAGCCCCATCAGCGTCTTTCCGTCATGGTGGTCCAGCGGGACGCGTTGCCGATCCCCCTGGAGATTGTCGCCGCGCACATCGAGGGGCGCGATCATTCTGTATGTTTTTTCAAATTTCCGTAAGCGGCGGAGCCGGGGCCGCCGAGAGCTCGCTGTCGAGTTGTGGACTTGCGAGGTCGTCTCAGCTTTCAACTTCCTCAACGGGCGCGTTGGCAGTGACGGCTTTGGGAAGCTCTCGGCGGCGCAGCTCGCCGGCGTCGACTCGTCGCGCGATCACCTCGCGTCGTTCGGCCCGCCCGACATCAGCTCCGCGGCGGCCTGCCGGGAGCTGCGTGGCTGCACTCCCGGGTGCGACATGTCCCCAGCGGAGGCGGTTCTGTTCAGCGGAGGGTGCGTTGCGGTGCCTTCGGGTTCGAGGAAATGCGAGCCCGCCCTTTTGTTTTCGGAGTCCGTGCCTGACTTGTGGCAGAACTGGGAGAGGCATCTCTTGCGTGCGCCCTCGTCACGAGTGGCTTTCCAATGTACCACCTCACTTCGACGCCAGGCGGAAGGGCTCGTCGAGCCCATGCGCCAGTTTTTCGCATGACCTGTTCGAGGCGGGCACGATCTACTTCACCTCGGAGGGAAAGCACGCGCTCGCGCCGTTCTTCGTGACCAAGCGCGACGGGAGCGGCAAGCAGCGGATGGTCTTGGTCACGCGCAGGGTGAACCGCATGTTCTACGACCTCGACGTCGCCGAGTTGCCGACGGCAGGAAGCTGGCAGAGTCTCCGACTCGACGCTGACTGCAGCCTACACCCCGGCCAGTGTGACATCGAGGCCGCGTTATATCGGTTCCTCGCGCTTGCTGGGCTCAGTGAGCGAATGGTTCTTCCTAGTACTGATCGAGACGCCCTTGCTAACGTTCTTCCCGCTGGTGTTCTCGATGATATCGTTTCTCGCAGATGTTCACCATGCTTGAGGGTTCTACCTATGGGCTGGAACTGGAGCCTTTTCTTTTGCCAGCACGCCGTCGAAGGCATGTTGAGGACGGTCGGTTTCGGCGACTCCAGGCTCGTGCATGACAGGAAGGTGATCCCTGACGTGATCACCGAGCCTGTCGCTGCCGCCTGCGTCGACGGCATCGCCGTGATCGGCACCCAGTACAATGACGTCGTCGGCCAGCTGAGCACCATCCACGGCGCCTTCAACGACGCTGGGTTCAAGTGCAAGGAGATTGAACTGCCGAGCTGGGAGCAGAAGCTCACGGGCTTGATCTTCGATAGAGACTCGGGGCGTATATCGCTGGGGCGCTCGCGGATGTGGAAGATCCGCCAGGCGCTGCCATGCCCGGCGTCGCAGCGTTTCGCTTCGGGCTCCGAACTGTCCATCATCGTCGGACACTTCAACTGGGCCGCTCTGCTACGTCGTCCTCGCTTGTGCATCTTTCAGTCTACATGCCGCTTCATCAAGAAGGCTGGCGATAGTTAACCGCTGGAAGCTTTGGCCCGAGGCCGTTCGGGAGCCACGCGTGGCCGCTGCTCTGGTGCCGCTCGCCCACTACGACGCGAAGCGCCCCGTGGACACGATGGTCTGCTCCGCCGACGCCAGCGCGGGCGACCTCGACCCGCTCGGCGGCCTTTTCGGCGGCTGCGGCATCACCAAGCGCGAGGTCGACTCTAAGATGGCGATCGAGACGGCGCGGGCGAGGGAGCGCTGGCGCTACCACGTCGATGGGGCCATCAACGCTCGGGATTTCGCCTCTGCGAACCGCGACGCCCCTCGCACGAGCAGAGCAGGCGCCGTGCGCCGCCGTCGGCTCGGAGCTCGTCTTCCCGGCGGAGGTGTGGCAGAATGTGACTTTCGGGCGGTGGAGCCGTGAGGAGAACATCCTGCGGCTCGAGGGCCGCACACTGTCTCTGTGTTTTCGTCGCAAGATGCGCGCCCTCCGCTCGCGAGGCCATGTGGATTTAATGCGCAATGATCACTTGTCCTTGGTGCTGGGAGTCGAAAACGGTCGATCCGCATCTCCTTTGATCAATCAGACGTGTCGAGAGATCTGCAGTTACAGCTTCGTTCCGGACATATCCGTAGCCGTGCGATGGCTACCTTCAGAGTGGAACACCTCCGACAAGAGTTCACGCACCGTGACAGGCACCCCCGACCCCTTCGCTGCCGACCCCCGCAATGTTGGCACGGCCTGGGCTAGCCTCGCGCGGGGAGCCGCTGTCGAGAAAGCGAGAAGAGACAAGTGCGAACGCCCCGTCAACTTCCCGCGGCGGCGGCGCCACGACTTCTGCGACCCCGACGCCGGGGCCGCTGCCGATGCTTCGACCTCGGCGAGCTCGGGCGGCCCAGAAGGCAGTCAGGGCCACTCGACCCCTTCCGACGGCGAGCGGTGGGGCTCCTCCTCCAGCTCGTGCGAAGGCAGCAGGCCGCGTGGAGCTGGCGCGCCAGAGGGCCAATCGGGCGAAGCTGAGAGCCGCGAAGCTCGGCGGCATCAACTGCGACCCTCGGCGTGGGCTGACCTTCTTGCAGAGGCACAAGGTGCGCGCGGCCATCACCGGCAGCTTAGACAAGCACTTGGCCAGTTTCTTGGAGTGGGTCGAGGTGCCGTCGATGGATGCCATCACGGTGGGCCGCCTGCACGGCCTCCTGGCGGGCGACTTGGACAAGCTATTCATGGGCGGGGAGCTCGTGGAGACGGGCTCGCAGATGTAGGTATCCGCGCAGCACAGGCTTCCGCGCGTGCCGAGGCCCAAGCACGGGGGCCGTCTGCTGGCGCGGGCCGCGCTGTCAGGCATTCGAATGCACTCCAGGAGCACGCCGATGATGCCCGTCGGGAAGCCCATCATCTGGTCCCTCATCGGGATCGCCGGACGATTTCGAGCGGGCGGGCGCAATGGCGCTGGCGTGGGGCGGCGTGATCCGCCTGCCGATCGGTCTCGTCAACATGACGGCCGAGACGCCGGTGGGGCCAGGACGCGAGGCCGCCCCGCGCTGGGCGCTGTTGCTGCGCCCGATTGAGGGTTCGACGCGCAGCGTGACGCTCGCGCAGGACGAGGGTGCGCTGCTGCGGAGCGCGGCTTGGCGTGGCGGCGGCGGCAGCATCCTGCGACAGCTCCGCGCTGCTCGACCCGCTGGCGCGCCTGTGGTCGTTCGGGGCGGCGCAGTTCAACGCGGAGTTCCGCCGTCGGCTCGCCTTGGTGCCGGGCGCGCCCAACATGATCCGCACTATCTGCGGCACTTGGCGGCATCTCACGCCGCCTCCGTGGAGGGCATGGGCCTGAAGGAGCTGCAGGGCCGCCTGCGCCGTGCCAGCGCGCAGAGAACCGCGCGGCACTCTTGGCAAGTCCGCTACCTCGCCGAGCTCGAGGGGGTCAACGAGGAGGTTGCGATCTGGGCCGAGCAGGCGGAGGCCGACATCGGCCAGATTCTGGGTGAGCAGCGGCGGCTTCAGTGCTCAAGTTTCCTGTTCGGGATGCCGCTGGAGTCGAAGCGGCCCCGCGGAGCCTCGCCCGCGCCTGCCGCCGGGCGACGGTCCGCCCCTAGCCACTCCCTCGCCCTCTGGGGGCTGGGGAAGGCCGGGGCTGGCCGCCGTGCGGCCCCCCGCCCTTGCCCCAGCGGTCGGCGGCCTCGCGGCCTCCGGCGGCCGGGGGATGCCGGGGCTGACTTGCGCGGCCCCCTGCCCCCTCTGGCCGGGCAGACGGCGACCTCGCAGCTTGCGCCGCACCCCCCTCTCCTCCTCCTCCGCCGCCTGCTCCTCCTCCTCCTCGGGGCAGACGCTGCTCGAGGTCGGATGCGGACGAGGTGAGCCAGCCCGAGCTGCTGACTTCTCCAGCTCAGGCCAAAGCGCGTGGACAAACGGATCGCTATTGGCTAACGCCAGCGTCTACCGCCGCCTTGTGGGCTGGGTCTCCTCTCAGTGCGTTCGGGGCGCTGGTGAGGATGAATCGAGTGACGTGCTCGCTCGTCCGATCCATGAATGTTTGAGCCTCTCGTGCCCGTGCGTCGCAATTTTTCATCGGGTAGCGCCAGCGCGCACTCCGCCGCGTTTCAGCAACATTTGCGATGGGAGACATCGTCTTGTGTGGCCCTGTAGTTTCGGATGTCGTCGAACGAACCACGACAACATGTGGTCCCTCGGTTTTTCTTGTGGTTTTCTCGCGGATGACGGTGGCCCTCGTGGGCGCGCTGAGTTCGGCCCGCCTAGTGCAACCCCGTGCACTCGCCTGTCATTGCCGATTGCAGAGCGATTCTGCTCGCGGCTCCCCCTCGGAACCGCCAGGGCCCCCGAGAGTTTCATTGTACGCTGTTCTTAGCAGGAAGCGGCCAGATGCCACTAGATAGGGTCGGTGTGGCGCGGTCTCGGCGCCGCTCAGAACGCACGAAGCTCGAGCATGCACACAGCAGGGACAGTTCGCACAGCTCTGCTGCAACGAAGCTCTGGCCATCCACGGGAGGGGTTTCAGACCTATTCAGATGTTTGTGTCGCTCTGGTCAGACCCGTTCTCCGCAAAATTTCAAGCATGCCCGCTCTCGTGCCACCCTGTGCTTAATACAGTTTTTTCATGTTTCAGGGGTCGCTGTGGCGCGGCCTCGGCGCCGCCCAGCTCGCGCGAAGCTCGAGCATGCACGCAGCAGGGACAGTTCGCACAGCTCCGCTGTAAAGAAGCCCTGGCCGTCCACGGGATGGATTTCAGACCTATTCAGATGTTTGCGTCGCTCTGGTCAGACCCGTTCCATGGCCGTTTTTGCTCCGCAGAATTTCAAGCATGCCCGCTGTCGTGCCACCCTATGCGTAATTCAGCTTTTTCCTTTTTCAGGGGTCGTTGTGGCGCGGTCTCGGCGCCGTTCAGAATGCACGAAGCTCGAGCATGCACGCAACAGAGACAGTTCGCACAGCTCCGCTGTAAAGAAGTTCTGGCCATGCACGGGGGAGATTTCCGACTTCGCCAGCACCGACGCCATTCCCGACGCCAGCATGAACGCTGGCACCTACGACACGACAGCGCATCCTCCAACCTCGACGCCATCACCGACGCGGGCACCTACGCTGGCACCAGCGCCAGCGGATGCACCAGCGCCGCTGCCAGCGCCGACGCCAGTACCGACGCGGCGCCGATGCCGGCACCAACGTCAGGTGAATTGCCGATCCCAGCATTGAGGGTACCACGGCGCCCCCGGACGACCTGCAGGTCTAATGTTAGTCAGAAAATGTAGCCACACTTTCTTGGCGGTATGCTGCGATCATCGGCCTGGGCTGGGACAGACGCTGGGTCAATCGCACGACGGGGATCAAATCCAAGCAGCCACGTACCAGCGGGGCGACGAAGTTCTGCGACGCGACCACAACACCCAGCAGATCCAGGCAGCCAACCAGCGCCGCCTCAGCAGCGGGAGGACAGTCAGGGCCAATTGCTCCTGGCTCGCTGGTGCATTCTGGCTCTGGTTTGCGCTGGGTGGGGGTCGGTGCGTGTTTTTTTTTTTCTGATTCCCTCGGGCTCTCTTGCCCTCGGGACACTCCGAAGTCGAGACCTTGCACTCCCAGGCTGTCCAACTCACTGACTCCCGCGCTGACCATCTCGCCGACTCCAGCCCCAAGCGCCGCGCGAACTCCTGCTTCGACATGGCCGCTGACTCCACGTCGTTTAATTTGGTGGCTCCCGCATCGACCAGGTCATCGACTCCCGTGGCGAACGGCTCCACGACCCCCGCCCCGCCCAGCTCGCCGACTCCCAGATCATCCAGAGCTCACAGACTCCAGCGCCGACCAACTCGTCGACCCCGCGTCGACCAGTGGCCAGCTCACCGACTGCCGCGCCGCCCAACTCACCGAGCCATGCACCGACCAGTTTGCCCACCCGACTCTTGAGCCGACCAGTTCACCAGTAGGCAACATTTTCCGGACAGTTTTGTTGCGTCTCGCTGTTGGGTGCGATTTATATTCTCCGAACCGCCCGAAGACACCACCGACGCATGCGCGCCTGCGCCCTGCCTGGTGCTAGCGCTGGCGCCGACGCCAGCGCCGACGCCAGCATCATCGCCTGCGCTTGCACCAGCACTGACACCAGCGCCTACACCATCACCGAGCCTGTACTGGGTAACTCTATGCGCGTGGGTGCGCTACGGTTTCCGCGCCGACCAGCACACCGACTCTTGCGCCTACCAGTTCGCCGGCTTGCGAATCGACCAGCTCGCCGGCTCCCGCGCCGAAAAGCTCGCCGACTCCCGGGCCAGCCAGAGCATGGATGCCCATCCCGTCCAATTTGCCGAATCCAACGCCGACCAACTGGCCGACCTCCGCGTCGTGCAGCTCACTGATTCCGGCTCCACCGCCTACCAGTTCGCCGATTACCCGACTCCCGCGCCTACCAGTTCGCCGACTAAGGAGTCAGCCAGCTCGCAGACACGCACATACTAGCTCGCCGACTCTCCTCCTACCTATTTCGCCGATTCCCGAGCCGGCCAGCTCAAACCCATCGCCGACCAGCTCACCGACTCCCGCTCCGAGCGGCGCTCGGACTCCTGCACCGGCATGCCCGCTGACTCCCGCGTCGGCCAATTCGGCGGCTCCCCCATCGACCAGGCCATCGACCCCCATGGCCACCAGCTCGTCGACTCCCGCATCGACCAGTTCGCCGACCCCCGGGCGATCTAGCTCACCGACTCCCGCACCAGCCAGCTCGCTGATGTCGCCCTGCCCAGCTCGCCGACGCCCGAGGTAGTCAGTTCGCCGACTCCAGCGCCGACCAGCTCGCCGACTCCCGCGCCAACTAGCTAAGTGACTCCAACGCCGACCGGCTTGGCGACTCCCGCAACGACCAGCTCTCCAAGCCCCGGGCCGATCAGTGTGCGGACGTCGATGCCGATGTCGATGGGCCTCGGGCGGTTGCACCGCGACGTCATGCTGCACTACGGGCTCAGCAGCAGCGGGTCTACCCACAGCCGGAAGAGATGACGTCCTCGCAGGGTGAGCCTCGACGAGTGAACATGGTAGGTAGGGCGCATGTATGTTATTATCTCCCCTAGTTCCTCCTCGTTTTGTTTGTTTTGTGTCTCTTTTGTTTTGTTCCTCTCTCTCTCTGTTTCCCCTCTCTTCGTTGCACTTGATTGTATCTAGCTCAGCTGCGCTGTTTTTAACGGGGGGGGGGTCTCTTCGGCGTCCGTCGCCACTCTCGCTATGAGCCGCCCTGGGCTTACACGTCTGGCGTTGGTCACCCATCCGGGCACCCGATCAATCAGATCGGCCGTTTTGCGTGGTTTTGGGCCATCGCCTCTTTATCTTCAAGTTGTTTCCTTTCACCTCCGCGCATCTTGGCACATTTGTCCCGATGGTGTGCTAGGTACTGCAGTTCAAACTTGTTTCCAAAGCTTGCTGGACTCGAGGACTCGGGGGGCCAGATGGCTGTGAACGTGTCTTCGCCTTCGTGTTTTGTTCTCCTTTCCACCTCTCCTTCCTTCTCCTCTCACTCCATGTCCCTCTTCTCCTCTCGATTTTTGGCGTGCCAGCCTTCCTTGATTTGGGGCCCTGTCTTATTCGTTTTGCCTCTGGCGTTAACGCTGTAGGGAAATCCGCAGCATCCGCCGCCTCAGTCAGTTTGTGTTGCTGCCCTATGTCTCGCGCAGTGGCGGACATTGATTTGGCAGTGAGAAGGTAGAGACTTCACTGCTCTGGTTTTGCGCAGATTTCTTTATATGGAAATAACGCACTGGGGGGGAGTGCCGGATGAGGACCGGCGTGGGGGAGGGGAGGAATACCCCCAGGGACGGATGCGTATCTGACCCCCCCCCCCCCCCGGGGACCCCCCCCCACGTGGGGAGGAGGACCCCGAGGAGGACCGGCGCGCCCGAGGAGGACTGGCGCGGGAGAGGAGGACCCCCAGAGGCGATGCGAATCTGGCCCCCCCCCCCGCCGCCCCCGGGACCGCCCCCCCCGCCAGGGAAGGGGCCAAGGGAAGGGGCTTCTTTTTGACGCGATGAGGACGTGGATGGAATCCCCTCAAGCTGCGAACCTTTTCCCCGAACGAGGAAGGGTGCTCTCTCTCTCTCTCTCTCTCTCTCTCTCTCTCCCGACGGGAGGGGGCGAAAGAAAGCCCCCCATCGACTGGGCCGGGCAGACACCCCGCATACGCCGACAGGGTCGGCGGATATTCTTTCCTGGGTTCGTGGTGAGCTGCTATAAGCATCTTGGCGTCAAGGTCGCAGCTGACAGAAACGATGTCCAGGATGCCCAGCGCGAGGCTTCGAGTGCCCTGCATGCGTTTGTGCCGCTTGCGACTAAGGTTTTTGGTTGTCCTCGAGTCTCGGTGCATTTGAAGCTCGCGCGCTCGGCCTTGTTCTGGTGCTTAGCCGCTTATGATATAATGTATGCATGCGCGTCCTATCCCCAGCCTTCCTGAAGTGTTTGAATGGCGTGCACATGAGACTGCACCGTCGGATTTTCGATGCCCCAAGGTATGGCAAGGACATCGCCGATTTAGAGTTCAGGCGGAAGTTTTCGACCCCGAACCTTGATTGTATAGTTGTAAGGAAGAGGCTGACGTATCTGAAGCGTTTACTTGCTCATGGTGCCCCTGTCCTGCTAGCACTGCTAGCGCAGAAAAGTGCGAAAGGACAGTGCATGCCCTGGACTGCGCAGATACTGCATGACATGCGCCTGCTGAGAGAGCGCGTGCTGTATGATATGAACGATCCTGTCAAGGACTGGCAGTGTTGGTGCAGGGCGATTGCCTCCCCGAAGTGGGAGCCTGCGGTAGATGCATTGTTTTTCACAGACTCGGTGCTTGATTATGCTGCGTCCGGCGAGCCCGTTGTCCAGTTGTATATGTGTTCGCAGTGTGAGGCGACGTTCTGCAGCGAGAAAGCCAAAGAGCAGCTTGAACGCATCAAGCACCAGATGCGGGGCCCGATGCGTGCAGATGCGCTCGGCGATGGAAGGTGCCGCGCATGCAATACTCAGTTTTCGTGCAGGTGGATGTTCTTGCGACGCTTGTGCGACAAGCGGAGGACTACGTGCCGTGACGAACTGTTGGCATCGACGGTCGAGCCGTTGAGTTTTCGATAGTTACAGCATTCCTTGAGACATCCTGCGGATATCCTCGGTGCAAGAAATTTGGGTTCGTGGTTTCGTGAGTCGTTCATGTTGGGAATATCTGTCTTGTCGCAGACAAGTATCATATTGCATGACGTCAAACGTGCTACCCGAGTTTCAACCGTCGGTGTGTGTGTGGGTGTGTCTGCGTGTGTGTGTGTGTGTGTGTGTGTGTGTGTGTGTGTGTGTGTGTGTGTGTGCGTGCGTGCGTGCGTGCGTGTGTGTGTGTGTGTGTGTGCGTGCGTGCGTGCGTGCGTGCGTGCGTGCGTGCGTGCGTGCGTGCGTGCGTGCGTGCGTGCGTGCGTGTTTGTGTGATGCTGCCCGGCTGCGCGCTGGCCGTGTTCTTCCTGAGCGTCTTCACGCTGCCGTGGCAGCGGCGCACGGGGGAGCTGGACGACCGGCTCCGGCGGCGCATCTACGTGGACGAGTTCACGCTTTGGGCGCGTCGCGGCCGAGACGAGTCCGGTGAGCTGGCCGAGTCGGTCGCCGGCGCGCTGGCCATCACCGCCGAGTGAGCTCGCCATGGGCTGGAGGCTCAATCGCGATAAGAGCCGGCAATTCGCCAATAACGCTGCGCTCCGCCGATGGCTGGCGGCCCAGACCCCTCTGATTCCTGCTGGGCGCCAGTTCCGCGACCTCGGGGCGGTCGCGGCCGCCGGCCAGGTGCCCCGCTGCGCCGTCGCAGGCACCAGGGCGCGCGCCGCTGGGGCGCGGTTCGCCCGGGTCGGGCGCCCCCGTTGGAGCTCCGTTCCGCCATCGGTGCATGCTGGGCGCTTCTGCTGGCGCCGCGGCCGGGCTGCGCGGCGCGTCGTGCGGCCGCCCCCCCGCGAGGGAATTGGCCGGGCTGCGTGCGGCGGCGCGGCAGGCTGTCTGCCGCGGCGGATTCCGGGCAGCCGCCGAAGTGGTGTTCGGGGTCTTGAGTTCGACTTGGCGGTTGGGCCCGGCGGCCGTCGTCGCCCTCGCGCCCCTGTGGCAGGCGGCGAAGGCGCTCCGCAGATGGCGCTTTCCCCCGGCGCTCTGGCGGGCAACGGAGGGGGCCCGAGCAGCCGGGCGCGGCCGCGGAGCTGGGCTGGTCGCCGCGGCCGCCTGGAGCCTTGCGCAGCTCCGCCCCGGCGCCGACGTGGAGCACTGGACCGGCGTCCCAGCTAGCCCCGACGGACGGGCGGCGCCCGGCTGACCAACCGCTCCAGGCCTGGAGGCACGGGCGCGCCGGGAGGCGGCTGCTTTGGCAGGCAGACGGGTTGACTTCGCGCATGTCGCGCGCGGAATGGACCGCTGGGCGACGAGGCGGCTGCTGGAGTCGGGGGCCCTCGCGCCAGACGCGGCTGGGGCCTTGCGCGCAATGCTGTCTGGGAACGTCGTCACGGAGTCGGTGGCGGCGAAGTGGGGCAAGCCGGCCAGATGCCCGCACTGCGGCGCAGCTTGCGAGGACCGCGAGCACCGTTTCTGGGTCTGCCCAGCCTGGAGCGCCGACAGGGCCGCCGCCTTGGCAACGGCGGGGGCCTCGAAGGCCGCGCTGCGCGCCCGGCTGCCGCCTGGCGTGGCGAACGCAGGCGTACTGCCGACGGACGTCCGGCTCGCCGCGCTCGCCGAGGGGGCCGCCAGGGCCCTGCCGCCAGCGCCGCTGCCCGCCGCCCAGTTGCCAGCGCCGCCGCAGCTGCGCCTCAGGGCGTGGACCGACGGGGCATGCGTGCGACCGAAAGACCCGCTGATGGCCCGGGCGGCCTGGGGGCTCCAGCTGGAAGGGGGGGACGCGGCACGAGCGACCACAGCGGGCCAGTGGACGTGGCGCAGACTGCGCAGCGCGCCGAGCCGTCCAGACCGTCAGCCATGCGGGGGCGCCGGTCGAGGTTATCACAGACTCCCGCTTCGTCCGCAGATGGCGTGGTGGCCCTGCGCGCCGGCGCGTGCTACCTCGATTGGGCGCATTCCGACCTCTGGGAGCGCGTCGCAGAGCACTGCCGGAGCGGCTTCCTGGCGGCGCGCTGGATCAAGGGCCACGCGGTCGCCGAGGTCGCGCGCGCCCGGGGCATGTCCGAGGAGGACAGGGCGGGCAATGCGGCCGCCGACCGCTTGGCAGGCGCGGCGGCCAGGGCCCGTTTCCCCCCGCCAGCGCTTTGCTTGGAACGCGTTTTCCAGCTGACGGCGCTGGCCACAGCGCAGCGCGTGCTCGCCGCGGTCGAGTTGGCGGCCTTGCGAGCCAATCACGAGAGCCGTGGGCCCGAGGGCCCGCGCGTGCGCCGCCTCTGGACTGCTGCGCGAGGGCCCCGCGCCGCCGGGAGGAGAGCTCGGCCGCCGCCTGCGGCGCCGGCGGCGCCAGCTCCCCCTCCTCCGCCGCCGCGCCGGCGGACCCGGGCAGCGATTGAGGCCAGCGGGGCCGTCGCGCCTCCTGCGCGAGCCGAGGCTGCGCGCGCCCTCTTCGCAGGCACCGCGTGGCACGCGCACGCCGCGGCGCAGGGCCCGGGCTGGGTAGCGTGCCTGCGCTGCGGCGCCTCGGCGGCGCGCTGGGCGCAGCTGTCGGCAAGGCCGTGTCCAGGGTGGGCGCCGGCGCTGCCCCCGCGGGCGGCTATGCTGCTGCTGACGCCGGCGGTGCGAGCTGGCGGTGGCACCGAGGCTTGGCGCGCCACCCTGGAGGCGCGGCTGCGGGCCCGGCCGGGGCCGCCAGACTAATGACGTGCACGGTGCATGCCCTTCCCCCCACTCCCTCCCCCCTCTGCCGCGGGGCGCTTGTTCGTATGGTAAAAAAGGTGTGCGCGTTTGTGTGTGATGTGTGTGTGAGTGTGTGTGTGTGTGTGTGTGTGTGTGTGTGTGTGTGTGTGTGTCCGCCCCTCGGCCGCGCGGGTGGGCGCTTGCACCCCATGCATTCGCTGATCTGCCTATACGCTGTCGCGTGGCCTACTTCGCCTTCACCTTGGCCATACTTTCCTCCCCTACTGCCCTGCTTGTTTTGGGTCGTCTGGTTTTCTGCCCTGCCCTGGTTTCGCGTGTGCGACTGCTGGGGGTTTCCGTCTTGGCGCGCGCTTTACATGTGGGCTTTACGCCCACAAGGGTGCGAGAAACCTGCAGCATCCCTGCCTGGGCCGCCCTGGAGAGCACGGGAGGCGGGCCTTTGGCAGGCTTCAGAAAAGGTGAAGTGCCAGCTGTCACGTCAAAGGAGACTGACAGGATTACAGAGCAGATGAGGTAAACAGTTGAGGAGCCAATGGCAGGAACACGCAACACATTGGCGCGCTTTACAAGGAAGAGACTTCTAGTTGCTGGCAGCCCTACAGTTGATACCCCTGGCTCGACCACGCTGTCGTGTCGGAGGAAGCAATCTTGCGCGCTGTGTGTCAAAGTGTAACGTGCAGAATTGCCTTCTCCGAAGTTGGTTGGCTCCAGCTATGGGTGAGGGGCTTCGCAATTACAGGGGGCAGGTGTAAAATATGGCTCGATGGCTACTTAATGCCCGCGATTTCGATGGTCAGTTTGATTTGCTACCGCTTGAGATCTAGAGTACGTTTACCGCTTTACTCTCGTCGCTGTGTTTGTGTTGCGACGGTTCTGTCCTTCTGACTGTCTGTAGCAGAGCACTCATGTCACGCCGTTCTGATTCTTTCCATCCCCACCCCCGCCACTCCCTCTCACCCTCCCTTCTGCGTCTGTTCCACCCCAGTCCACCTGCAATCAGCCGAGGCCTCACCCTCCCCTTCGTGGCCATCACGTTTCTCACCATGATGGCCACCCTCAACGCTCTGTGGTACCGGGCGCATTCCACTGGGCGCATTCCACCACACCATCCAACTGGGATTTGTTCCCCATGAGCGAGGGGAAGAGAGGAGGGGTACAGGAGAGAGAGGGAGAGAGAAAAGGGAGGACCGACGAGTAAGAGAACACGATGTGTGAGAATAACGCGGAGAAAGGAGGGACAGAAGCGAAGTGGGAAGAACAATGAGAAAAAAGGGGGTCCTCCCTTGAGCCCCCACCCCTGCAAGAGCTAGGGTAGGCAGGGGGGAGGAATGGCTGGTAGGCGCAGCAAGCGTCTCCCAGGTATGCACCTGTCGGTGACGAGATGGAGGACAGGAACGCCAAGTTGCTGGAGACACTGTCACAGGCGACAGACAAGCTGACCAAGGTCTTTGGCAGCATTATCCAACTCCTGCTTATCCTCCTCCTGCTCCTTTATCTGGTCCTTCTCCGCCTCATCCCCACGGCTCGCCTTTGTTTGACCCTTTTTTCTCCAGGGAGGAGTATTGGGGAAGGGCTGCGATGCGTGGGCGTGGCTGTTGGCCCTGCCCAAGGCAGACGCGATCCAGGTGGAGTACACCGAGAAGATCCGCGAGGCGCGCGAGAAGGCCTCGGCGGCGGTCTCGGATTACCGCAAAGAGATCGAGAAGGGCATCAAGGCGAAGCTCGCCGCCGCGACGTCCCAGAGGGCGGCCCAGGCCGCCGCGCTGCAGGCTAAGCTGGAGGCCGAGGTGAAGGCGAAGATGGATGCCGCCGAGCCAGAGATCGAGAAGCGCAAGTCGACCTTCGTGAAGGAGACCTTGGCCTCTTGCTCGCTGGCGTGAGGTGGCTCGGCCACAGCGTATTTTGAGCAAGCTCCCCCGCCCCCCTTCTGCATCCCGGGCGCTGCGCGGTGGTGCCACAAGGATGTAGAAGGCGGCCGAGGAAGAGAGGTCTCCTCTTATGCCCTCCTCCCCGCCCCCCCGTCGAACCTCCGAGCGCCTCGTTGCTTCCTTGGTGACTTGATCGCGTGGGCAGGCGCCGCGTCACTGGCGCGCCACATCCTCTTGCTCCTCCTGCAGCTCAACCACCTCCACCTCCTCCACCTCACTCGTCTTCACCACGTCCACAAGTACACATTGTAAATACTACTCCCCTCTCTCCCCTGACCCTGTCCGGAAGATGCCGGGCCCTCCCCTCGTGTGCTTGTATCACCTGGTTGTTAGGCCATGTTGTTCGTTCAGCTGTTTTTTGTTATCCGATTGTTGTCGGAGTTTCAAATTGGTGTTCCGCTCCAGCGTGGGCCTCATATTCAGGCGCTCTGCTCCCGTCGTTCAGACTGGCGTTCTCGCCCAAGCGCGGGCCACGCTTCTGGATCCGAGTCCTTTTTTCATCATTGCCGCCCCCCTCATTTCCCTTCTTCCGCCTACCCCTGGTCCTGCTGCTCCTCCCGCTGCTTCCACTCCAGTTCCTCCTCCTCCTCCTCCTCCTCCTCATCCTCCTCCTCATCCTCATCCTCATCCTCATCCTCATCATCATGATATGATTCCTCCTCCTCCTCAGCCTTATTGGATCAGGTCCCTCGCCGCTGGGCCGCGCGCCGCCTCGGCCTCGCGCGGTCGCCATGCGCCCGATGCCAGGGGCGACAAACGGAAGCCCCGCCGCCCTGGAGGCGGTCCGCGGCGCGCTCCTCGCCTCGCACGCGGCCTCTGGGCTGGCTGCCGCGCACGCCCCTGCGGGCGCGCGGCTGTTGCGAGCGGCCGATGGGCTCCCCCGCATTGCAGTGGCCGTGCTCGGCGCCCCCAAGGCGGTGCCTCCGCCTGCACCCGGCGCCGCCAAGGCCACGGGCCGCCCTCGGTGGCGCCGACGGTCGCGCGGGCGCGGCGGCGCTTGCGGCACTCATGGCGGGCCCGTGCAGGGCACTGGAGACGCGACGGCGGTCGAGGTGGTGGATATGGCAGCGGCGACGGACGCGGCGATGGCGGTGGCTGCGCCTGCCCCGTCCGTGCTGGCGGTCGACGACAGGGTCGCGGAGGGCGCGGGCGCGGTCGCCGCGCTTTCGTGTCTGGAGGACGACGCCTGGGCGGACGAGCTTCCCGCGCTGCATGGTGGGCGGATGGCGGCGGACGCGGTTGACGCGGGCGGGCTGGTGCCCTCGGCGCGGTTGAGGGCGGAGTTTGCTGCAGCGACGGCGGCGCACGACACGCGCCGCATCGCCGCCATCATCAAGGAGGCCGTCGGCTCGGCGTGCGGTGGTGGCCGTGGTGGACGGCAGGGACCTGGGCCGTTTTGCGGCTAGGATGTCGTGGCGCCGTGCGCCCCCACCCCGCGTTCATGGTGCTCGTCTTCGGCGTGCACCCGATGGCGCCTCTCTGGGGCGCCGCCCTCCATGTTCTTCCTGCCGGGGGCCGTCCGTCACCTCGGACGTCCCTCTCATCGCGCGTGGCCTCCTCCTCCGCCTCCGCCTCCTTCTCCTCCTCTGCCTCCAAGGGCTCCTCCTCCTCCTCCTCCTTCTCCTCCTGCCCCCGTCCTCCTGGCTGTTGGCTTGGCGCGTCGAAATTCAGCGCGGCATAGTACAGCGCAGACCTTGACCCGTATCGCATCCCCCAAGGATTCTATACGACTCCCGAGGGACTCTATGTGATCCCCGAGGGATTCTATAGCATCCCCTAAGGATTATGTAAGATCTCCTAGGTACTCGTATCATCCCCTAAGGGTTCTATAGCATCCCCTCAGGATTCTACAGTAGCCCCAAGGGAGTCGACAGGATTCTCTATACGATTCCGGAGGAGTCTGCAGGTCCGATGTCGGCTCGGTGGAACGCGCATAGGTTGAGTTCGTGGGAATACGTGGGCTGCCTTAGGGATCTCCAAGATTTCCAACGGCCCCTTGTGGTTTCCTATGCTGGCCGTATTGGGCGTAGCATAGCGTTGCGTTGCGTTGCGCGGGGGTGCGGGGGGGGGGGGGGGCGCAGGGTACACCAGCTGGCAGTTTCACCACATGGAGCGAAACAATCAGATGGTGTACCTGGTCCGGGTACACCAGCTGGTTGTTTTGCCTTGTTGTTGTTGCTTGTTTGTTTGTTTGCTTGTTTGTTTGCTTGTTTGTTTGCTTGTTTGTTTCCTTGTTTGTTTGTTTGTTGTTGTCGTCGTCCCATCCGCGACCCTGCCCGCGACCCGCCCGCGACCCGCCCGCGATCCATTCGCAACCCACCCGCGACCCGCCCGCGACCCACCCGCGACCCGCTCGCGATCCATTCGCGATACCCGCGACCCACCTGCGACCCACCCGCGACACACCCGCGACCCGCCCGCAGACCACCCGCGACCCACCCGCGCCCGCTCCCTCACTCTTATCCGCAATTGCGGGGTGCCACAAACATCCGAGGTTCGCTGTACAAGCAGCCATCCTCGCGCCCCCTGCTGCGTGGAGAAGGCCGCCAGCAGGTTGCACATGTGCCCTCTCATCCCAACTCTTGTTCGCTCCTGCCCGGTACTGTGCTTCCTTGAATTCCCGCAAGACTTTGCATTCAGTGGCTGCCGCAAGCACGACCAAACGCGTTGCCAGATGCGCGTCGAGATGATGGGGCACGCTCCACCTGTCAGTGGTTAAGGGGTCAAGGAGGCGACCAGAGCCCACAGGAAGCAGTCGACGGGTCCCTCTGTCACAAGTAGGGCACGTCCGGAAGCGCCTTCCTGTATTGTCTCAGCGTCCATAGCAGCTACTTGGGGTGAAGTTGATCTTGGCTTGCGCCGTCAGCGCTCTGGCGAGACACGCGGGGCAGGGCCAGCCGCGTGAGGTGCGACAGCGTGGCAACGTTGAACTCCGCGCCCGTCCACTGGCAGGGGCGCTGCTACTATTGCTGCCGCGGACGTTTGAGCCACACCGGTTACCACTTCTCTATGAGGATCAATTTCGCTGTAAAGGAACGGTCTCCTGTAAGTTGTTTGTCGGGCTCCCGGGGACCTCCCCGAGCCCTACGGCAGGCGGAAGAAACGATTCAGAATGAAAAGTTGGTCCTGGAGAAAGCTCGCGTATTACAGGACCCATCTCCACCAAGACCCTTCTTCGTCATGCCATAGCATGGTGTCCTCGCCGCCGAGAGGCACCACGTCCTCCCAGCCTTTGTCCAGCACCACGATGGGTGATCGCCAGCGCTTGGCCGTTGACGCTTCTTGCTTCCGCGTCAGTCCACCGTCTGCCCGCGCTGAAGGGGAGGGGAGGGGGGGAGGAGACAGCTGGGTGATGGTAGGAGGAGGGTGAGGAGGGTCGAGGGCGGGCGCTGTGGATGGGAGGGGGAAGGGGAAGGCCAGACCAGGCGGGTAAATGCGTGTCGAGGGGTAGAGTGGTTGAAGGTGTGGTGTGGAGGGTGGAGATGGAGCGCTGGCTGGGGGCCCTGGAGGAAGAGAGGGATGGGATATGATGCTACAGGTAGATTGGTATCAGGCACCAGCCTGTCACAGATCTGTCAGTGTTGGGCTGCCTGGGATTCTACACCAGCCCTGCAGAAAAGCAAACTGTAGAGGAGGGGTGTGCGATAGAAAAGGTGGTACTAGAACAGTGGACTGGCAGTGGTCATTGTTGACCCGGACATCATTAGTGATCCTCCCGGTCGGTCTCCTCAGCGGCGTCGCTTGGGTCCTCTCGTGCGGCCAGGCTCCTGGTAGCTGCAATATTCGGCAATATGCGCTGGAAATCGCCGGGTGTAGCGCAGTGCGGCATCTTGGTGCCGCGCTGACGTGGCGACGACCCCAGCGCGGGCGTGCAAAATGGTTTCTGCCAGTGCCCCGGAATCGGCCGTTATATACTGGAGGGCCGCGACCGTTAAAGGTTGAACCAGCCACGCGGTCTTAGAAACCAACGAACAGGTCTTCATCACACGGACCAGCCGTATCATATATGACCCTGCGCATTTCGCGTTCTGCGTAACATGTCGTTCGCTGGAGGTGCAAGCTTCATGGGCCCTCGTATTGTAGAAACCAACGGGCAGCGGGCCCGAAGACGGGGTGCTGTAAACGATGCAAACAAGCATGCGTCGGCAGAATGTAGATCGCAGGGACAGCTGGTGAGAACTTGCATTCAAGTCCGTTCGCAGAAGGGGTAGTAGGATGGGAAGGGGAGGGGAGGGGAGAGCGCGGAGGGACGTGATATGTTTCACCGCTTGCCCACTCTGCGCGTCTGAGCCCCGTCCCTCTTGCCCCACCGCAGGCAGCCTGAGCCCAGCAGATTCGCCTCATGGGCGCGGCGTAGAGTGGTGCTACCTGGCGTCGGCGGCGTGCGCAGGAGGAAGATCGGAAATGACGCGCTCGATAAGACACCATGCACGGGGTCAGCCGCAACGTAGCCATGGGCAGGTTGACAAATCATAAACGCACCAGGGGCCAGGAAATCAGTAAGGAGTGGGGCAATAGGTCGAGGTTTGGATGGGGTTGCTCCAGTTGTATTACCACAACGTAAAATAGAAACCGTCCTCTTTTGCCCAGCTTTTCGGGCACGGGCCCGGATGCCCAGAGAGGTAGACGAGCTGTCGCGGGGTGGGGGGTCGGAGGAGACGGCTGCCCCAGCCTAAGATATGACATACTGGCTGTCTTTAGGGCGGGTTTGAATTGAGTCAATTGAGTGTTTTGTGTTTTGATGCTAATGACGATGATGATGATGATGGTGATTATCCTATCGTAGTGCTGATGGTGATGACGATGGTGATGGTGATGATGATGGTGGGGATCATCTCATACACAATCACCATCATCATCACCATCATCACCATCACAATCACCCTCACCATACCATCATCACCATCACCATCATCATCATCACCCTCCGTACCATCGGCATCACCATCACCATCACCATCATCACCATTGTGGTCCGTAGGACTTGGCTCAAGGCAATGTCGTCGTCTGCTGCTGCCCCCCCGAGCCCTGCGGCCTCGTCGAGAGCGGCCTCGTCGAGCCCTGCGGCCTCGTCGAGAGCTGCCTCTGCCTCGTCGAAAGGCGCCCCCTCGAGCCGTGCGGCCTCGTCGGCCTCGCCGAGAGCGGCCTCGTCGAGCCGCGGCTGCAACAGCTCGGACGCCGACGCCGACGTAGCGGCTGACGCCGCCGACGCCGACGGAGTTGCCGACGACAGGCCGGGCTGTGACAGCAAAGCCTCGTTTTCCGAAAGCTCGTCTTCGGATAACGACTCCAACAACGGTTCCGAAGAGGACCGCGGCTTCAGCAGCGAGGCAACTGTGGCTGCAAAAGCGAAAGCGAAGGCCGCCCCGAGCAAAGTAGTCGAGAAGTTCAAACCGCTGTTGCACATGACCCTGGAGGAGCATGTCGCCAGCCACGATCACCCAGAGAACATCGCGACGTGCGGCGCTTTCAGAATTTGGAAGAACAAGGAGAATTTGAGCGCCTCTCTGTCTGCGTCGAATCCAGTCACCCAGAGGCCTAAAACTTGGATGGGCTGCGTAGGTGGTAGATTTGCAGTCTGCTTGTTCTGCTCCGCGTTCAAGGGCGCCCGTTGCAAATCCGTTTCAGGCCAGGGAGCTGGGAGTTTCCAACGCAAGGGAAACCTCTTGCGCCATGAGCAGTGCGGTGGGCACCAGGCAGCAGAAGCGGCGTGGAAAGAGCGGATTCGAGCGGAAGGTGCGCACCAGGGTCGCCCCGTGTCTGCGTTCCCCACAACGGCCACATCAGCTGCAACAGCTGCAACAGCCGCGGCGCATGCGCCCGTCGTCGTCCGCGCCGCCGGCCTGCGCCCTGGCTGCCGCGCAGCGGTCAGTTCCTTCACAAGTTTCGATGCGTGGCGGGATGCGCTCTTCGGGGGCGGCCGCGGAGTTTTGGGGCCCAGTCAGCAGCACCGAAGGGCGGTAGTCGCAATGGCTCAGTGCGAGAAGCTCGTGGCGCAGAGGATTCTCAAACTGGGTGTTGTTTTTCGTTTGGCTGCGGACGGCCTCGACCGCGCGTGCCAGGTCGAAATTGGCACCGCGTTTCGGTCGATCCCGAAGGCTTTGGAGTTCCTCCAAAGCTACGGTCTCAAGGAAGGCTGGCTGGAACAGCTGGGCCCCGAAGAGCCCTGGATCGGGGCGCGGGAGTTTCCACGGGCCATGGACTGCGACGGCAAGGCTTCCATGCTGGAGGACTGCGTCCGTCGCGCGCGCCAGGCGGCGGGCGGGGAGCTGGGCGGGGACTTGCGCAGGCATGTGCGAGAGGAAATGCGGGCATGGCGCAGCGATGGGGCGGATCTAGTGCACCCCTGGCTGCAAGAGCTAGGTTCCCTCGGCTGGCGTTCCACGCGTGGGGCGAGTCGCGCTCGCCCCAGAAGGTTCTCGCCAATTCGATGAAAGGAGACAGCGAAATCACGATCGCGGACGAGCTGCTGGCAACAGGTAGGAAGCCGCCAAGTCTGGCCAGGTTCCTGACTAACTCCACCGTGTTCCGCGCCACACTGGGGGGGGGGGGCAGCAGCTGGTGGAAGACGACATGGCGTTCGCCAAAAACTTCGGCTGGGCCCCCCCCCCCAGCGTTTCAACAGTCGGGCGAGGCCCTTCGCGCGGGAGAGTCGGCGTTGGGAAGTCATTTTCAACGCGCTCGGAGTGGAGTCCCAGGGTAGTGACAAAGATC